TGTGTGTGTGTGTGTGTGTGTGTGTGTGTGTGTGTGTGAGAGAGAGAGAGAGAGAGAGAGAGAGAGAGAGAGAGAGAGAGAGAGACAATAGGATCTGATCTCTTCCAGGCAGTAGTGAAAAGGACTGTCACCATGGCTTCTCCACAGAGCTTGTAAAGCTGCCTACAGTCCCAGTTTTGGGAGGAAATAGGAATATAAATTGAATAAATTGTAAAGAGAGACATAAAGAAATATAGATGCCATTAAGAATAAATATAAGGATGTGCTGAAGAAATCTATAACTGTGCAATGGTAGAGTGATGCCTCATCTTACCACTGCTCCACTTCAGCATGCCCTTCTATTCGTCCATCTTAGAACTAATCCTCCCAGCTCTGTCTTCTGCTGCTGCTGCCGGAACTCCAAACTCAGAGCAGGCCAAGAGGGTTTGGACCTCTTCCCTTCCCAGAATGGTGGAAGGAGGCAACAGTACTCTGATCCTGGATCTGTCATAGTGCAATTGGGAGTAATGGGAAGGAAGTGTTTAAAAAGAAAACAAAGTTAACAGGGCAAAGGAGGGCAAAGCTGTGGGGAGGGACAAAAGCTCTCTCCCCCCCCCGCCCTACTTGTACACACCCAGCAGGATGCAGGAAGTGTGCAAGGCATCACCGCCTAATGCTGTGTTTTCCTCTCATGTTTCTCAATCTATGTTCCTTCCCTGATGCCCAAATGTCACCCCTGTGGCTCAGGTTCACGCCTGACTGCCAACAGCAAAAGAGCACATATTTAAAGCTGTGTCACTCTGGCTTTTAGTGCATTTCTCTGTGAAAAATAATAAAATAGAAGGACAGAGGAGACGCTGCAGAACGCGAGAAGATAAGACGTCTCCAGCAGGGGGAAAAAAAGAAAAAGCTTTTCTAAGTCTCTGGCTGGCCAGGGTAGTAGATCTCAGGGATGGAATACAATATTGCTCCCCTCCACACCATTTCCCCCTTCTCAGTTGGGTTCTGAAAAGATTCCTCAGACAGAAAAAACCCCTATACCAGCCCCAAGTCCTTCTCCCTAAGAAATTAGGAGAGACGCCCCAGTCTCCACTAATCTTCCCTAGCACTCAGCCCCAGAAAGCCCCACTCCAACCTGGCTCCCACAGCAGCAACAGAGTAGACTCAGCAGTGAATCTTTCCACTCTCAGGCAAGGGAGGACTCCCCAGAGCTTCAGAAAAAGACGTCTGAGACCTTAACAAGTTGTCCATGTTGGCTAGTAAAGAGTGGGAACTGTAGTCCAAAAGATCACTTTTCCAAGTGTGATCCAAGCTCTTGATCTCCTTCTGGGCCCATGGAGAGGTACCTCATGTTCTATGGATCCCCATGAACAACAACACTGCCCTGACAGCAACCACAGGACTGCAGCCTGTGATGCTGGCAGGCCACTGTTATCGCTGCACATGATTTACTTCACTCCTCTCTTTTCACATGTGAGCACCACCAAATATAAACCTGTCTTTTTCCAGAAATAGAGATAGGGGTTGCTATAGCAACAGAAATAGCTTCAAGAGAAAGGAAAAAGGTGGTGGTGGGTTTTTAAAAACTCGTTTCAAGTATCTTTACTGAAATAAAGGTTTTTGTTAAGAGGGGAGGAGAGGATAGCTTGTGTGTGTGTGTGTGTGTGTGTGTGTGTGTGTGTGTGAGAGAGAGAGAGAGAGAGAGAGAGAGAGAGAGAATTTTGAACAGGCTGCCTTTGACAGTCTAAAATATTAGTTTATAAAAGGATTAGTTTATATCCCTCAATACTGAAAAGTAAACACATGAAATATTTGACTTCACAATATATACTTTTTCATTTTGAAGACAGCGATTTTTTTTCTAGACTAGGGAACGGAGGTCCTGTACATGTTCCCCTCTGTGACTAATGGGCGCATAGAGTGGAGGACAGAGAAGGGACCACAGCTTCCCTTGCAAACCCTCTCTGCCCAGAACTTGACACACAGCATGCTTCTCAAATGACTCTGGAACCCTCCCTCCCTTTTAAGCAGGCCGGAGTTGTTGTTTTTACACTAACTCACAGCCGTGCAACTTCTAGGCTTGTTTACAGCCACACAACAGATGTGTGTATGTATGTGTGTGTGTTAGGTGCCATCAAGAAAGAACTGACTCAGAGCAACCCTAGTAGAGTTTTCAAGGTAAGTGAGAGAGTTAAGGAACGGTTTCAACAGGGCCACCCCCCCCACCCCCACCCCAGTGAGTTTCTATGGCCAAGCGTGAAACTGAACTGAGGTCTCCTGAAACCTAGTCCATCACTCTATCCACCGCAGCTGCGTTTAAAGATGGCTTGGGTGCTTCAAGCTGCTGCCAGATGCCTTCTTGGCAAAAAGGCTTGCTTCTCTCACAGAAGCACCGGACCAAGTGGATTCATCTTTGCCAAGCCTGAGGGACACCGACCATGGGAGCCATACTCGCCCAGTTCAGTGTTGTGTCCTCACAGGCTCCTGAGTTATTCCCTAGTTAGTGATTCTTTCTCTTGAGAAAACTGCCAGCACTCCCAGTTTTTCTGCCACTGTTTTTTTAATTTGAAAATTTCCTCCCAAATGTCCTTTGGAGCAGCCCAGAGCTTGGGGGCTTTTCAGCCTAAAATGCTCAGAATCTCCCTGACTAGCACGGTCAGCCTGGCTGGGGAATTATAGACCAAAACCAAACACAAAAAACCAGGAGCTCTGGCTGCCTGAATGTGGCAACAGCCTTGTTAGTCTTCTCTTTTTCTACATGGAAAAGCATTTAGGTTCTTTGCAGACCGTTTCTGCCATCGGGGGTTTTCCGAATCTTGTCAGTGAGACATGGCTGTTGGTGTAGTAGGTCATGGCCAGGCTCCAGATGGCTTGGCCTCCTGACAATATTTTGTACAGGAAACATCTAGAGAAAAGCCACTGAGTTATTCTGCCATTCACTAGTAGCCCATAGTCTTAAGTCAGAGGCTAAAGCTCAGACTCTCTGCTCCAACCACAGTGCTCTGCTGGTACTCCTATCTAGGTCTCTCCCCGCATAGCTACCATGGGGTGTAGATTGTACGCAATGCCATGTTTGATGGGCAGAGGAAAGAGTTGCCATGCACAGTATGTATACCTATTTGCACAGCTATGTTACCTCTGGTATCAAGTGGCATCATTTTGCCACCTCTTTTGTCATTTGAAGCACGTAAGACAGCAACAGCATCATATTTTTACACTGGCAATCAGCAGCTCCCCAGGGTATGTGGCAGGAGTATTGGAATGGCTGTCCATCTCTGACTCCCTCCCACACATATTTGTGTCCTGCTGAGCTGCCTTTGGAGAAATCTTGTTGAGACGCAACACAGAAAACAGCCTCTCCTGTCCACCCACCCACAAACTAGGGATTAGGTAGCCCACTGCTGAAGATGAAATGTGGCAATATCTTATTTCTTCCCTAGGCTGTGAAAATCACATGCCAGAATGAGCACCTGGACACATAGGAATCCCTCAGCCCTGCCCCATGTAACAGAAGCCACCTACTTAACACATTGACGGTTGATTCCGATGTCAGCTGGACATTCATTGGCATGACGTACTCTATGGTGAAACATCTTCCACGTTCTTCACCTGTGAGGGGATAAGCTGGTTTTATATTTCCTTTAGAGAAACAGACTGCTTCATTTGCTTCCTGCAGCTTCAGGGGCTTTGAATCGGCTGCTATCGTCCATTACTGCTTTTCTTAACTCCTGATCATTGAGAGGATTCAGAGCTAAGCTAGACAAGATGGAATGGCATTTTAAAAAGTAGAGCTTTAACATTTTGCCCCCACCCCACCTCCGGTGCCCTCCCATGGTCTCCCACAGTCGAGCCCCCTCCTGCCCAGCCTGTTCTTTATTTTGGAAGACAAGTTTCCATAGATGTAAAAGGGAACTTCACTCCCAAGGCAAACAGGACATGCAGATCAGGGCTGCTAGGGAGAGCAAAAAGGTCAGAGTTGCCTTTTTCTTTCTCCTCACAAGGGTCACAATCTGGGCCAGGGTCCCTGCATCTGCAGTTCACTTTTAAAATGCCATTCATAAAGTGCCATTCATAAAACGTCACTCATACAGCTGTTGATTGATTGTAGGGATGGAGCCTTGCCTAGTTTGAAATGCCGCAAGGAATAGAACAGAGAGTCCAGGCGGTAGATGCGATACATGGCTTTACCTGATTGTATGTGTTGCTTAGAAACATTCTGTCAATAGAACACATCTTACATAATCTAAATTATTATAATTTAATATATAATTTTAAAAGGGCTAAATCAGGAGCAGAGAGGGACCAGGGACCACCACTACCATCAGCTCTCGCCTCCACAGCCCCACGGTGAGGATTCCGGGAGCTGCAGTCCAAAAACATTTGGATTTCACTGGACTAGATCAATACTGATTTTGGCTCATGAATTGGTCTTAAAAAAATACAGAATGGATGCCTCTGGGACAGGATAAGAACAAGGTATTGATTCGTCTCCTTCCTAGGCACATTATGGTTTGGCTGTTTGAGACTAAGGAAGCCTTGAGAGCAAACAACAGAAGCAAGTGGATGTTTCATTGTCTCAAGGATTCGAAAAAGAGGTCACCCGGTCTTAGTCTGGAAACTGTGTAAAGAGCCTGAAGAGCAGAATCTGTGTTTAACGGAGTAGACTACAGATGAACGGCAATGGTCAGAAACTGATCTGGGGTTTAAGTGGTAAGGCTGCCGTTTCAGAAAAAAACTAGCTTCGGCTGCCTGTCTGATTGTTGCAGCAGCAGCACCACAACACTTGGCCCGTCGGTCCATTTATAAAGGAGCAGATTCTGATAAAGTTACAAGAAAAGTCTTTTGTGCTCTGTCTTCTAAAGAAAATTTGTTTTGCAAAGACGAACTTCTTATGTAGCATTACTGCAAAGTGGCAGAAGTGATAAGCAAAGCCAAAAGGAGAACAATACAAGGGCAAATGTACTGTTCCAAACCACTGCAATCATTGTAAGTTAAACCGCCTGATATGATGGCACCATGATCAACCATAAATTGTTAACATCGCCTTAATACATTGCACACAATCCTGGCTAACATCACTACAGCATAGAGGACCTTTCTTAATGGACTACAGATCATAGAATGCCGCAGCTGACACATCCTCTGATCCTGCCGGCTGGGAGAATTCTAGAAGCAACCTGTTACAAGCTCTGGATATGATTAGCAACCAGGATCAGAAAAAAAAAGACAAAAACCAAACAGATTGACTTTTATGTGAAGCACCGTACCTGCCAAAAAGCAAACTCTCCAGAGGCCGGAATGCAGAGACATCTTGACTTCAGTACTCTGGTTCTGAGGCAGGATGATTCCTTCCTCCAGATACAGCCAATAGTCGGTGCTCACAGCGATCCCCAGGAGCCCCAATCCACACACAGCAAACACACTGCTGAGCAGGGTCAGGGCTTTTCTGCCACAAGTGCTCATTCCCAAAAGCATCAGGGCCCGGAGGGGGACAGAAGTGGACTCCTAGGGGGGAAAGAGAAGAACTGGGCTATTAGCACGGAACAGAAAATGCTACTCTCACTGTGAGAGGCAAGGCGACCTTTGCCCTCTTGAACATGCTTTGAGGAAAGGCATTACTGAGCAATGGTACCAAAGCCCCCGAAAGCAAGAGCTGCTCAACCCATCAGACTCCCTCACGATTGAATATGAAGGGCATTTGTGAGGGATTTTAAGGCACATTAACACTAATTCCAAGCTGACACACTCATCTATCCAAACATGTGTAAGAGCCCCTTACACATCTTCCTTGGCAACTTGATACTGCTCTAACTGTCATGGCTTCATCTTGTGGAAGCCCGGGTTTTATGGCTTGGTGAGGTGCTTAACAATGAGCTGTAGTGTACCTCTCTGCTCTAGGAGGAGAGTATTCTAAGTTCCCCAGCAAGCTACAAATCTCCTAATTCTGTACAATGGTGCTTTGGTAATGAAAGTCTTACCTCACTGCCCTTAAGTGGCCAAGCATGGTATGCTTGTCCACTCATTATTTGGCAACACATGGCCCCTTTCCTGTACTTCACAGCCTTCCTAGCTTTCTGAAACCCTCAAGGTATGGAGAACTGTCACTTCTTCTAGGATAAGAAGCAGGCTCATCAAAGCAGAGCACAAGTGTCCCCATTTCTGGGTCAGCCATTTTCTGCTTTCCCTCAGCCTTGGGCATTTTGCTCTGAAGAAGACAGTCAGAGTGCGGGGCAGGACCCCCAAATGCTACTACTTCATTCCAGGTGGGCAACTTTAACTGCTTAAAACCTACATGTATCATTTATAATAGAGTTCTTTAAAGCTTGTGAATATGCCAGTAGAGCCAACCTGAATAACTCTTGGTTTAATGTCATTCAGCTGGAACACTGGATTAGAGAATGGATGAAAAGAAATGGTAAATGCAGGGAGCTTACAAAATTTAAAGAAATGAAGGAAAAAGATAATGGGAGTAAAAGAATGAAAGGGATGATGAGTAAAATTTATAAGATATGAATAGAAGCAGAGGATCAACAGGAAGTTTTTAAAGATGCGATGAGAAGTAGGATTTGGGAAAAGAAATGAGTACTGAGAAGAGGAAGAATATAGAGTGTGGAATAAAATAATTTTAAAATGTATGTCAGTAAGAATACAATAAACTTTTTATGAATTGGTTTGCAGATGATACTCAACACCAGTGAAATTGAATTGTATGCATAAAAAATATTCTAAGATATATGTTGAAGATGTGGTCAGGAAATGAGAACCTACTTTCATATGTGGTAGGAATGTGAATATATATTGAAATTTTGGAAACTGGTTTTTAAAGAAATAAGTGAAAGTTAAATCTAACAATATGCTCTAAAATAGTGCTTTTATTGATATTTGAGAGTGAGCAATGGAATTGGACAATGAAAGAATTGATTATAAATCTAGTAACAGTGGCTAAATTAATAATAGCAAAGAATTAGAATGTTAAATGGGATCTTCAATTAAACAAATGGTATAAAAATGTGGAATATAGTTATTAATGATAAATTAACATATAATATTAATGTAGGAAAATGAATGACAGATAAGAATATGTTTAGAAATACAGTATATGGAGAGGATTTATTGATTTTGTATTAACAAAGGGGAAGGTTGTGTAAGAGTCAATATATTTCTGGAAGGGGAACAGAGCTCTGCAAAGGGAAGGAAATTGAGTACAGTATCCTCAGTCAGGTGAGGGGTAGTACACTGATTTGTATATGTTGTTTATCTTTAGATTTTTTTTAAAAATGTATGATGTTAAATAAAAATAATTTTTTAAAAAAATTCCAGGAGGGCAACGTTAAATGCTTAAAACCAGAGGTTTCATTTATAATAGTGCCTTTTAAGGCTTGTGAATATGCCGGTGGAGCCAACCTGAATAGCTTAGGTTCACCATTCATTCTGAGGGCCTCAGGCATGTTGTCCTGGATCAAATCCTTAGCTAAACTCTACTGCAAAGACTGAAGCATATCCAGAGAACATGTATTTTTCCAGTTCTTACTTTCACTGGGAACTAACAAGTTCTGACCAATAAGATCATATGATGCAGATATTTAACCCCATGTCCAGGATCTAGAACAGGTCCAAGCCCAATAACAGGTGCTAGTATTGACCTTCAAAGTCCTGAATGTTTCGGGGGCCAGAGTATCTCAAGAAACATCTATCTCCTCTATGCACCTGCCTCAAGAATGGTGAATCTTTGTGTGTTGTGTTTAGTCGTTTAGTCGTGTCCGACTCTTCGTGACCCCATGGACCAGAGCACGAGTCTCGAAATTTATTGGATTACAACTCCCAGAATCTTCAGCCTATACTGTCAGTTGTAAAGGACGGTGGGAGTTGTAGTTCAAAGCATCAGATGTGGCAAAGTTTCTGTACTCCTAACCTAGGTCATGTTGGGTGGTTCTCTTTCTCTGGAAGAAATGAGGTAAATGGCCAACAGTTGTGGAGGCCTGTTTGTGGAATACCCATCACAAGGAGTCAGATCTGACCTCTACAGTGTTGCCTTCCAGTGTTCAGTAGGGGAAATCCTTTTCCTCCCATAAATCAAAAAAAAAAAAAAAAGATTTTCTACCAATTGGGTAAACAAGGGAAATCCTTTTCCTCCCATAAATTTAAAAAAAAGATTTTCTACCAATTGGGTAAACATTAATGCTTTCCTGACACTTCCCCTTAATTAAATTTTCATCACCTTTTTAGGGAGGAAAGTCAAAATCCCATCTGAAGATCACGAAAAGGGGCTAGAAATTTCTAATAAACTTCAGAGAGTGCAAGGCTGTGGAGCTTTTGGCCTTACCTCACTGTTATGAAGTGGCCAAGCAGTGTGAAGCAGTGTGTGTTTGTTTCTCCACTCATTAGTTTGCAACTCGTGGTCCTCTCCCTGAACTTCATAGCCTCCTCAGCTTTTTGAAACGCTGGTGATCCTGATACTACGGGTGTGGTTTCAGTCGAAACTGTATAGCAATTCTCCAAGCTATTGGACCTGTTTTGGGTATAGGGATTGGCACCTCACACAGCTCCGGTAAAATTCAGACTAAAACCCAAAGCCTCCCCCTTGCCCCAGAATTAGAGTTACCAATCTTCACTGTCCCCCTTGAGGGCTCAAGAACCAGATCTCCTGAGGCTTCCCAGTATTGCTGCTGAAAGCTAAGTGAGATGTCACTATGTTTTTTTGGGGGTGTTGTTGTTGTTGTTGTTGTTGTTGTTGTTTTTCTTAAGGTGGGCCTAAGAGAATGACACTTAACTAAGGTTGCCAGGTCTCAGGATTCTGGCCTTGGAGAACGGGTATGCTTCTCTGGATCTCCCAGCAGAGAGAGACATCTCAGAGCAAGTACTGCTAAGAAAGCAGAAACTTTGTTTTTGTGTGTGTGTAATGTGGCGTTAAAGGGTTGGCATCCATCTCCTCCCATTTGGCACCAGAGGTAACTCACTCAGCAGAAAGATGTCTGAGGGTGTATTAAAGTTACAGATGTTATTTATTTATTTACTCAGAATCACAATCATTGAAATGTCTTCTTTTGTTTACTTATTTGTCATTTAACCAACTTGTGTATTTACTTCTTACTATTCTCACTTCTAACTTTGACTATCCGTATTTACTTCTTACTATTCTCACATCTAACTTCGACTATCTGGTTCTTTCTCTAACTCCTAACTAACTGAAATCCTAACTCTAATACAACCCTGGTCCTAACTCTAACTCTAACTCATCCCTAACTGAAATCCCTAATTGATCTCCCTAACTGATCTTTAACTGTCTTCCATTCTCTTCTTATATTTCATTGGTTCCGCCCCTTCTGTTCAACCATTGGTTGCTAAATCAGGGTTCCATTGTGATGGACAGGAGTGGTTACTGACCTGTCCATCACAGAGAGTTTAAAATGCTATGAAGAGAAACAGAACTATATTTACACATTCTAGAATACCACAAAATACTGTGGATTTAAGACAAAACGAATTCTGGAAGGATGATAAACTATATACTGAGGGATCACCACTTAGGACCTCTTCAGGTTAAAATGCAGTAGTTTGATGTTTGTATGTGTGTTAGAGACAGAGAGACCCCAAACCTTCCTGAGTTTTCTAAGGAATAATATATTCAGAAGTAGTTGAACAGTCCCTTCTTGAGGAAGGCAAGTGTCACTCTGGCGCTGTGTCACTTGCCCAAAGCCAAACAGACTGGTAGGTACAGGCAGCCAGACACTCCAACCCACTGAGCTCTGGAGGAGAATCATATTCCTGGCCCTGCAGCCAGACACTCCAACCCACTGAGCTCTACCAAATTTATATATACTTACACAGCATCTCACTTAACTGAAATGACGGTAATAGCTATAAATGCTATGTCATATTGCCAAATGAGAAATTAGGAGCATATGCCTTGAACACAATCATCAAGGAAACCCTCCTCTCACATCAGGGGTAAGGCCAGTGACTTGAAACTCTACCTGCTCTCTAGTAAATTTGTAGCTGAGATGAAATATGGACTGGAGACCAACCACACTATTTCACTCTCACCCGTAATGTCAAGGAGGAAAGGTTTTATAGTGGCAAAAATGCCACTTGAGAGGCCTTCACAATGCTCATTGAGAGACCTGTGTAAGCCTTCAATGTTCTCAGAAGTCTTACACAGGCAGAAGACAGAGAACATGCACAGTAGCACTGACAATTTCCCCTGATATTCATCTTTCCCCTTCTGTGGATTCTTGATGTGACTGAGAGGATTTGTGAGGGTGGAGAGGAGGGTCTAGGCTGCATCCCTGCAGTGCCACAGAAGTCTAATAAATTCTTGTGTGGTGTTCTGAGGGCCTTACGATTCCAGTCAATTAGCCTCTTGTTGGCACTGGTTCAGGGATAAAGCGCCGAAAGCCTGCAAGCTCAGGCATGTGTAACGTGCAGTCTGTGAACTGACTGACTGTTCTCCCATCCTCCGCCAGGACACATAACTCTCTCCTTTATAGGAAGTGGTCACATGCTGCCAGAAGAGAAGGAATTGTCATGATATCAGCTACGTTATTTATGAAGCACTCAAAAAACAAAGTATTATACCAAAAAAACACATATCATAAAACTGACCCTCAGTAGGATTATAATCCAAGTAAGACCACAGAGTTCCAGACATCTTGTCCATCAGGAACGTTTGGAATTAAAAGGGATGGTAATATATTGCAAAGTTCACCAGGGAACAGAAAAAAAAAGCTACTTGAAATTCTTACTTAGATCTCAAGGTTTTCCAAAGACATACATTCATCTGGATGCTATGGTTAGCATCTCTTGCTGAAATATATAATATATACCATCAAGTCAATTCTGACTTATGGTGACCTTTTTCAGGGCGGTTCATGTAGAGAATACTCAGAAGAGGTTCACCAGTCCCTTGTTCTGGGGGTGTGTGTGTCCTGGGACTGTGCAGCTTGCTCAAGGTCACACAGGCTGCCTCTTTTCCTGGGAGGCACAGTGGGAAATCAAATTCCCAACCTCTGGCTCTGTAACCAGAGACCTAAATCCCTGAGCTATAGTGAAACGGAAATTATGTGTGCCCCCCAATTCTGTTCTAGGTACCTCCCTGTTCCATGCTTGTTCTCACCTCGGTTGTGACACTGGTCATACAGCTATTCATACTACTGGGAAACTGCTGGTGATGATGGACATTTGTTCAATTTTTCTTCCACAGGATATCAATGTCAGAGTAAAGAGGTCCATAGAACCACATAACTGGTTTAGTTGAGTGCTGATTGATGAATCTATGAATTTTAAGGTGAAAGGAAGAGTCTAGCAACCTGCTGTCAAACTGAGAATACGACGGAGAGTACATGTATATATAACACCCCTGCACTTTGCCATCGGTTGATCCAGGTTTTTCCTTGGTCAACTGTTGCCAACACACTTGGAGTTCAGTGGCACCCAACTGACTGTAACCGTATAGCAGTGGCTGCCTGATACTGCGAGGAAGAAAGGTATTTCTGTAGGCTCCTGGTGTAATGCCACATCAAGGGCGGATTCTCAAACTATGTTCCTGGGAGCGTCTCACAAGAACCTCAATGGGAAGATCAGTTCTGGCCAACGTTTCCACTAATTTTCAGCCCTGCTAGGTGGCGCTCTGTCCCTTGTGTGTGCAACTCCACACAGCTCTGCGCCCCCCCCTGTGTGGGGTTCCATCACAACTGGAACCAAAAGGGCTGGAGATGCATGTGGTGGCTGTGCATAGGAGGAGGCGCCCACACAGCGTAGAGGAAACCTTGGATGTGATCGAGAAGCTTCTGCCATATCTACCATGAGCAGCTTCCCTAAGCATGCCCCCAGCAACATCAGAGAATCCTGTGCAACAGTTTCTGAGCAGGCAAATCAAAGCAGAGAATATTCCCCGAGGGGAGAAAGTCTGCTGTCATCGATCCAGATAGATCATCCTTTCATTGCAATAACAAGAGTACTGTATTGTGAAATAAGTTAACAATGGAATGAGGGTGGGTGAAGACCCAAAGATGCACTGGGAGTAAGGGGTTAGGAACAGGCCGAAGCCTCTTTGACTGGCAGGAATAGTGCCTTTAGCCCACAGAGCCACCTTCTGTTGTCTGATCTCAGAGATCTGCCAAAAAAACTGATCTGCAAGCTAAAGACTTCTGGCAGAAAAATTGAAACAGGGGCAGAGAAAGAATTCTGTGAGGGAAGAGCTGGCTTATTCCACAGCCAAACCTCTTTCAGCTGATGGGCACAGCCAGTGTGCCAGCACAACTTTTGATCCATGGGTTAAGAGGAGTCTTAGATTCAGCACAGATTCCACTGACCCAGTATCCACTCATTTGGTCCTCTTGGGACTGCATCCTAATCGAAGCAGCACCCCGATTCTGTAACTTAAGAGTACATGAAAAAGAGAACAGAGGCAATAAGTCTAAGGTAGCATATGGCGCTGCTTGTGTTGTGACCAGCCAACTGCAAGAGTGGACAGCAATAGGAAACATTTCATTTACTGGCAGGGCAGCATAACCTGGGAGACAGGCCAAGAATGATGTTGCCTATTGAGCTGAGATGGCCAAGGAAAAGGAGAGCCAGGACTTTTGGAAAGCCAGCTGTCTTATTTTATTTATTTATTTATTTATTGGACTTATATACCGCCCCATAGCGCTACAAGCACTCTCCGGGCGGTTTACAATTTCATTATACAAGCGACACATTGCCCCCCCAGCAAGCTGGGTACTCATTTTACCGACCTCGGAAGGATGGAAGGCTGAGTCAACCTTGAGCCGGCTACCTGGGATTTGAACCCCAGGTCGTGAGCACAGTTTTAGCTGCAGTACAGCGTTTTAACCACTGCGCCACGAGGCTTGTTTTCATAGTGGATAGAAAAGTGGAATAAAAATCGAACAGGATCTTCTTGCTCTTGCAGGTCTTTGTCCTGTGCTTGGAAGGAGGACTACCTTCTGTCACATTGGATCAATGTGTATTCTCTGTGCCAGCTTGTAAGATGGATTGTATCAATGGGCAGGTGGCTAGGCTACCACATTTGACTTACTCCATTTACCTATGCATTCCTTTGATGGGGAGGAAAATATTATTTTTTATTTCATGCCTATTTTTTTCTCAAGACAAATATATTGCTCACAATGACTGTAAAAGGCTCAGATTTTGGCATGCATATGCATGTTAAATGAGCAGTGGTTGACCCAGTGGTTTGTGTATTGTACGTACACTAGAGCAGTGTTTCCCAACCTTTGGTAACCTAGTTGTTCTTCGACTGCAACTCCCAGAAACCAAACCATTCTGGGAATTACAGTTCAAGAACACCTTGCTGGGAATTACTGCAATAAAGCTCTGAAATAATATTCCTATCCAGCCATTCTGAAATCATCAACGTGGTTACAGGGGAGAGACTAGCCTTGCTCCCTTC